GCAGACCACCAGCATATCACTATAGTGACGCATATCGGCTGTAGACCACGAGCATATCACTATAGTGACGCATATCGGCTGTAGACCACCAGCTTATAACTATAGTGACGTATATCGGCTGCAGACCACCAGCATATCACTATAGTGACGCATATCGGCTGTAGACCACCAACTTATAACTATAGTGACGTATATCGGCTGCAGACCACCAGCATATCACTATAGTGACGCATATCGGTTGTAGACCACCAGCATATCACTATAGTGACGCATATCGGCTGCAGACCACCAGCATATCACTATAGTGACGCATATCGGCTGCAGACCACCAGCATATCACTATAGTGATGCTTTGTAGTACAATGGGGTGGTGGGGGTAGGGTGGTGGTGCTGTGGCGTGGGATGTGCGTATAACTCAACGTTGAGGTTGGATCACTGGGTATCACATACTTTATTATGTTTATTTGTTTAGCTTTATATTATATGCAATCACATAAAATTGCATACAAATATTTATCTGCAAATCACAAAATACCCGTATGTTGTTCAGGCTAACTGTGGTATTAGAATGAATAGTTCGCTTTTGGTACATTTTACCATCTTAGTAACCCGTCCATGGCATGACACTTCCGTTGACCCACAATCCTCCTTTCACCAAGTCAGCCGGTAACCAAATAAAATATCATAAAAGAAACCCTGTTACCATATCTTCTACATACATGTCGTAACATGTTCTATGGAAAATACACGAAATAAATAGCGTGTCTTCTTTTTGCCACCCATTCTAGGAACAATATATCACTGACGAACTTTTCCAGTTTTTAAAACGAACAGCGATGTCCTGTGTTATTTACTATCTCTATTGTATATAGACATATTTCGTTCGAGTAAATAGCATTATAATCAAAGTCGCAGACCTTAGGGGTAAAATACTCGGGGTAAAGCTGACCGACATCTTAAATTTAAACACCTGTTGAGACAGTATCCAGTAGTCATTAGATACATTATATAGTATATATCTTATGACATTTGTATTCAATAATTTAAATTCATACTGAAAAGCAGAATTACTATAAATATAGACGACATTTGCCATGGCAACACATGTTATTCAATGCAGGAAACAATATTATTGAATTCTGTTATTGGATTTTTTGTAATAATAAAAAAATAATAATAAAATCTATACCAGTTATTGACATTACGGCAGTTTGTTAAATGTGACTAAAAAGGATTTCCGGAATTCGATTATTTACTTTTTACAGACGATTTCAGAAATGTTTGTGCTACGTTGTTGTGATATTCAGTTGGTGGCGCTATTGAAAGTTTTTTTTGGTATGAGGAGTACATATCACCGGGATTACATGGGGTTTAGATGAGCTGCTTCATTAATAATAACATAGGTGTTAAAAATTTACTTGGGACAACAATTACAACGAGTATGTGAAACATGTGTCGGACAAATCTTGGCTAAAAATAAACTTTAGGTAATGCCACATACTATAAGGCAAAATTACACGTGAGTGTACTAGTATTTCAAATACAATTTCGATGTAAATTTTGATCAAAGTACACACAAATAACAAGGTAATAATTTATTACACGAACTGTAATAATTCCAAGATTCACCATGGAATATTGAATTCGGAAATCTAACATCTGGGTCTCAGTAGTTTGAATAATTTCATTTCATTTATTTCCAATCATGTTAAATCATTTCCTTTTAGTCCGATATTCACCGCTTTTTTGTTAAAATATGTATGCTAGTCACACAAAGAATTGACTTGATTGGTATTATATAGTGACGAACAAAGTATTCAAATTATTATTGTATTATGCTGTAATTCTGTAACAGATATTTTCAAATCAAGTTGTTTATGCACTAAAATGTAACAGCATATTCAAATTTTAAAATGATCGGATAACAAATTATTCACATATGATAGTCACGAAAAACAAGTTTACAAGACACTTTTTCACCAATTCCACAAAACACACACAATGCAAAATACATCTAACTAACGGATTAACAACATCTGTTCAGGTATTGTAACAAAAAACATCTCGAAGAAGACGATACACATTATGTATTCATGTAATGCATGGATAATAGAAACTTAATTAGGGTTGAGCTGGCGTAGTTTTGTTTACGTGGAATACAAGTCTTATTGTATAGATTCTTCCTCAGAGACGGCGGCACGAAATTTCCTGCATTTTGAGGGGCAAATTTTGCTGACAGAAACAGTTTCAGCTTGATTTTAGAGGGGCGACGCCCCCTCTGCCCCTCCCCCGTGCCGCCGCTACCGCTACTGTTCCTGGTGTACCAGCATGATCAAAGAAAGCTGGAATTACTGTTGAACATGGTAGATATAAAATTAAACTCATGGTTATGCAAATTTATTGACGCGGGGAACAATTTTAGGTGAGAATAATTTGTGTCAGTATATAACAACAGCTCCAAGTCTAGAAAATGTTCAAAATGCCGGCACTAGAAAAAACGCCCTCTTGTGACGAACAGTGAAACCCGGAAGCAACAGCCAAATAAAATGGACACCGACGCGGCGTGGAAGAGAAAACGTGAAACGTATGTGTTATATACTGTGGGTTTACTGGTAAGTTGTGTTACTTATAGATTGATCATTGCATTTCAAGATGTCCCTCGATAGGTTTCAGTACGTTGATTCATGGCTCCAAGTTTCATCGTTCACATATTGAGTCGCGCCCGAAAATATAACGTGATGAAAGAACTTTAAGTTCAAGTATACATCATTCCAATGACATGTGAAGTGCAATGGACTTAACCGATACTAACAGCATCCTTGTCAAGGACAGATTTAAAATACGAATTTAATTTGTCGACAATCTCAGTGTATTAGTTCACAAATGTGTTCAACTATATTCAACTCTTTAAATAGGGATATTAAGCGATGAGGGCGCCTATTCTGGACCCATGTAAATAAGCACTATCGATTATTACCGATTTTTCGATGATCGTCAATGAGTTTAAAACAATTTCAAGGAGTTTCACATACTCGACTCGAACACTTCACTATACTCACACCAGTGGTTTAGTTCGCCGATAATCTGGGCGTGTGAGTACAGTTCAATTATATATCTGAAATTGCTGTTTTGCTGTATACTAACAATCAAGTGGACCCAACGAAGTCAACTGAAAATGCCACAGCAAGCAAATAATACTGTGTTTATTAATTCTCGCTCTGCCTGATAAAAGCATAAATGATTGCCAACAGACAGACACTAAATATTGTCAATAAATTTATCCCGCTATAAATCACAGTACATTCATTGGCAATAAATATTTATGAACAATATGATGCAGATCAAAAATTTGAATATTTTTTAGTATTAAAATCAGGCCATGTGCATGGTAAGTACTGTATTCATACTAGGATATGCAACTCAACACCATGTATTAATCCCCTTTTACAAATAAACGGACCACCAAAATACAACTTACATATCTTCGTATAGGGATTGTTTTAATCAACTTATAACTGACATTTGATGCTGTTACAGGGCATTGAATACACAGTTTTGGGTGCAAATTATATTATGACACACTAAACAATTGGTATTCATATTTTTCTCCTTTTGTAACAGATGTATCTAAAAATGAAAAAAAAATTGTGGGTTAATATTGTATGTACATTTATTTATAAATCTATTTTAATCCAAACTAGTACACTGCATTAAAATTAAGCATGATTTCAATTTTAATAAAATCAATTCAAGTGCCAATAGAGAGAACGTAATTTATCATTTGAAAATAAAGGCGGTGTTGACACATGTATGAATTTTAATATTTTTACTTTTTTAATTGCGTATAAGATAATATTTTTTCATTGTTCTCCCATAATGCCTTATTTAGTAGATATTCAGATTACATTTTCATCTCTTTAATTATTGAGCATTACTTTGTTTAATGAAAGTAGTGATGTATATAAGGATAAGATTCTTAGGAGCATGGTTTATCAAGAAATAACTATGTTGTCATATTTGTTTGACGATATAATGTGAAATGCAAATATGCATGCTATATTCAAATCAGACTCACTCTAGCATCTACTGCTATGTCTACTGCCAAAAAAAAAAAAGTAAAACGCAATAAAATAAATCCTTCTCACAATTTTTTTTTGGTTTCTGTCAAAATATTTTTGAAATGAATGAAAACATTTTCAAGAGTTTTGTTATGAGGCAGTTGCCATCTAAATAGCTGTCTACTAGGATTATTCAGTCATCAACTCTGTATTTTGAGATTTATGATCTGAAAAAAAAAGCGTATCATTTTGGCTTCACCATTTTTTAATCTAGCCACATACTGCCAATTTTTTTTAAAGAACTTTAGACTTTTTTTAAAATTTCAAAAATTAAATGACTATTTAAATATGTTGGAAATACTTAAAGTTTTGACATGGTATTATCCTGACAAATTGACCGAAGATTTACTTTCTCATATGTTGTACATTGATTGATTTTGTTTGAATTTTGTTTGTAGGACTTTCTTGGAGTAGCCATGATAATTCCACTCCTTCCAGGTCACACAAAAAGCATGGGTGCTTCTTCTACAATGATTGGACTTGTTGGTTTGTTTACACTTTCTTTTTTTATTTTTTTTTTTTTATTTTCTGGATGGTCTTTATTGCAATGAAAGGCCTGTGGCCCAAAATACATAAACTATAAATAAAATATAAAGTAACAAAAACAGTAATGTCACACACTGTGTTCATAAATTTTATAAAGTAATTTAAGGGAATGGATAAGAAAGGCTGCAAGAGACTTCAATTCATTTCTGTCTTCGAACAATACTTTCTTTCCTCATATACAATGATATTCTGTAGATAATTTTTGCTACTGTAAAGTATTTAATTTACTCTTTAATTTATTCTTGTTTTTGTTGTAACAGTAAATCAGTGAAAATACCTTTTTCTGTATATTTTACAATTCAACTCATTCATTCAAACTCTATTCAAGGATTCAAAACTTTTTTTTTCAGTGAAATGCTAGCTAAAATAAAGTATTTTACAGTACCAGAATAAAATGCTGCCCATTTGCACAACATTTCTTGGTAGCCACAGTGAGTCTCTGTTGCAACTTCCCAGGCAAAATGTTTATTATTTGGAAAATTTTATGATTTTCTCTGATTTGCAAAACTTTTTTCTCTCACAAAATGAAGAAAATTTATACATTATATCATGAAGCCATGAATAATTTTTATATAAAATCTATATCTACTGCTCTTGGTCATGTGACCAGTCTAGTCAGTTATTTTAGTAAATCCACACATGTCTTTTTGTTTTTATGCTAATTTTAAACCGACCACACTTGGTTCATATGCTAAGAGTAATTGCTACAGGTAACTGTGGCATATTTTGTAAACTGGCATTGTCTTAGTTATGTTACTGTTCCATATTTTATAAAACGCTAATGTATATCAGGCCTTATACCTTGGTTAGAAGTGAGCAGCTTTA